GGGTCTCACTTGTCACCCCAGCTTCAGTGCAGTGGCTCAATCATAGTTTGTTGCAGTCTCTAACTCCCACCTCAACCTTCCAAGTAGCTGGGACTACCAGAACGTGTCACTACACCTGGCTAATTATGTTATGCTTTGTAGAGTCAGGGTCTTGTTTTGTTGCTCAAGCTAGTCTCAAACTCCTGGCCTTCCAAAGTGCTGGGACTGCAGTCATGAGTCACCATGCCCAGTCAAATAAACAAACAAACAAACAAAAAAACTATTAAGGCCCTGAATCTGACCTTGCTGCAAAATAACTTCCAATCTGAAATATAAAGTTGCTGAAATTCTGTACTTTCATAATACACTATTTATGGCTGAGAACAGCTAGACATTATGGAGCTTTACATTTAGAATGGTAAAAAATAGAGTATCAGTTGTCAAGAGGCACATTTAAAGAGATAATACTTCTGCCTAAAAACATGGGTATCCCTCTAAATTGGATTCCTGTTAAAGAGATCCTTTATGATAAAATTATTCTTCAGTTTTATTTTAAAAATTTTTTTAGAAAGGATCTCACTGTGCCACCCCTGCTGGAGTGCAGTGGTGCCAACACAGCTCATTGCTGCCTCAAACTTCCAGGCTGAGCCTGCCAAGGAGCTGGGACCACAGATGCACATTTTTTGTTTGTTTGTTTTGTTTTGTTTTGTTTTAGAGAGAAGGAGTTTGCTCTATTGCCCAGGCTGGTCTCCAACTCCTGGGGCTCAAGCGATCCTCCTGCCTCAGCCTCCTAAAGTGTTGGGATCATAGATATGAGCCACAGTGCCTGGCCTCTTTTTAATTTTTTTAAATAAAATCCATATGCTGCACAATTTAACTTTAAGGCTCATAACATTTACTAGAATTATGACTGAATTTCTAAGCTTATACTACCTGAGGAAGATAAAGAACAAAAAATTATTGGTTTATAAAGGGCTTCTCGGTTTTTAAAATTCACTAACAAGCAAAGCTTAAAGGTTTGTGGGAATTACTTTTCAAAAGAAAAAAATGACAAAGCCCCCAAAATGTAATAAAATTAACAGACATCATAGAAGGAGGGAAATAAACCTGGCTTAGAAAACGCAAAAAGGCCAGGTGCAGTGGCTCATGCCTTTAATCCCAGCACTTTGGGAGGCCAAGGCAGGTGGATCACCTGAGGTCAGGAGTTTGAGACCAGCCTGGCCAACGTGATGAAACCCCATCTCTACTAAAAATGTAAAAATTAGCTGGGAGTGGTGACGGCATTCTGTAATCCAAGCTATTCGGGAGGCTAAGGCAGGAGAATTGCTTGAACTCAGGAGGCGGAGGTTTCAGTGAGCTGAAATCACATCACTGCACTCCAGCCTGGACAACAAGAGCAAGACTTCATCTTAAAAAAAAAAAAAAGAAAAAAGAGGCAAAAAGATGCTTTTAAAATAGTAAAAGCAGAAATTTAATGCAGAAGATGTGAATTAATAGAGATTTCAAACCATTAATAGTACTTACAGATGCCCTTTACTCATTAGAAGAGATATTTAGAAATACTAAAGACATAGGACAAAACAGTACGAGTAATCTAGATTTTTTTTTTTTTTAGATCAGAGAGATAAAGAAGCAGGAATCATGGTAATAGTAAGCATAAATGAAACTGGTCTAACATTACTATTCAAATTGGTGAGCTTATTTAACATTAATAAATAAAACTTCAAAAGCTTGCTGCTCAAGAGAAAAAAAATCAAACAAATGAAACAAAGACTTTAGCTTAACATGTGATTTTCTATCAGACAGGCATTCTGCACGCACAAAAAAATACATCAAATTTCTCAAAGACGGCCGGGCGCGGTGGCTCACGCCTGTAATCCCAGCACTTTGGGAGGCCGAGGCGGGTGGATCACTAGGTCAAGAGATCGAGACCATCCTGGTCAACATGGTGAAACCCCGTCTCTACTAAAAATACAAAAAAAATTAGCTGGGCATGGTGGCGCGTGCCTGTAATCCCAGCTACTCAGGAGGCTGAGGCAGGAGAATTGCCTGAACCCAGGAGGCGGAGGTTGCGGTGAGCCGAGATCGCGCCATTGCACTCCAGCCTGGGTAACAAGAGCGAAACTCCGTCTCAAAAAAAAAAAATAAATAAATAAATAAATAAAAATAAAAATAAAAATATATCTATCTACATATTTTTTAACATCAAATGGTATTATAGAAGATATTTTTAGCTACCAGTCTTTGATGATATGTCTTTAATGTTACTCTAGTATTTTCTAACTTTCTTCTTTTAGTTATGTGCTCAGAATATATAGTAGCTAACAGGAATTTAATCATTTTTTAAAATATTATAGTTTCTGGTATATTTATTTATAGGGTTAACCTCTATTATACTGAGTAATGCTGGTTTCCAATTCATGCTATCTCTTAAAAACACATTTACAGCCGGGCATGGTGGCTCACACCTGTAATGCCAGCACTTTGGGAGGCCGAGGCAGGCGGATCACAGGCTCAGGAGTTGGAGAACAGCCTGGCCAGCATGGTGAAACTCCATCTCTACTAAAAGTACAAAAATCAGCCGGGCATGGTGGCAGGCACCTGTAACCCAAGCTACTCAGGAGGCTAAGTCAGGAGACTCGCTTGAACCCAAGAGGCGGAGGTTGCAATGAGCCGAAATCACACCATCACGCTCCAGCCTGGGCAACAAGAGCAAGACTGTTTTGAAAAAAGAAAAAAAAAGAGGTAAAAGATGCTTTTAAAACAGAGCAAGACTCCATCTCATAAATAAATAAACATTTACATATTTAAAAGGCAGGTAATTTAAATAAAAATATTAAGCAGTTGACAGTACAGATGGGACTCAGAGCAAAATATCTGAATGCATATCCTGAATAACTGAAGTCTGAGAAACAACAGAATTACAGAAGAATAAACTACTTTATTGTTTCATGAAAGAATTAAGAGTACAGGAAAAGGCTGGAATCCATACAGTTTAGAAGATACGATCTATTAAAATATAACAGATATGCACGTTGAGATTCAATATGAAATTAAAGTAGCTTCACTAACAACTTCACTTCCAAAGCTATGTATCAGACTAATCATGTTTTATGGGCTCACTTATGGGAAGAAGCAGATGACAAACACACTTAATATTGTGATTCACTTTTCCCTTCAACAGAACTTCAACCTCCAAACTAACTCCCAATCTCTTCTTCCATAAAAGACAGAGAGGGATTTGGACCACATCACTAAATGCAAAAATGTTTAAGAGAAAAACATCAATAGCCAAGACAGAATTGCTATTGGGTAATTATTTCCCCTCAAAACCTGCAAAGTCTCTTGCTCTTTTCCACATTAATTCCTCTATGAGTAGATTAAAAGAACCACTTACTTTAGCTATTTGTATCTGGATATAAAAACTACCGAAGTGTAGGATATTCCTTTTCAAATTCACTCAATCTAAGCCAACAAACAAGACTTTAACTAAAAAGTTTATAAAAATATTAGAACCCTAAACATATATGCCTCCTTATTTCTATTTCAATCAGTTCATGTCCAGCAGTTAAGTAAGTGCTGATTCATTAATGCTTTTTACTAGACAAAGGCAATGAAGTCTGCTCATCTCTCTCCAATTGAAAAGCAGCACCCTCCCCACCCCACAAAAGGAAAACACTTGCATTCGGGGCTCCCTCCTCAAAGATGTGCACTCCTAGCTCTCAGCACACAGCAGATCAGGTTTCCTCCCATGCCCATCTTAGAAGCTCCGAGCTCCAGTCTTATCTGCATTATTTCAGTACCAGCCACTACGTCCATTCTAATGTTTCTGAGTATTTTGAGTGGCAACCTCCAGCTCCACTAAACTATCAGTCAAGGTTGTTCAAGTTCTCTCTCAAGGTTATCAGTTATTGTTTTTATTAATGTTCTGGTGACAAAACTGCATATATTTTCAGTGATTTATCCCAATCCTATATTAACCATGAGCTCTATTAATTTTAGTGTTCAGTTTTGCAGCATGCAGAGGTTTTCACGAATACATGTATCATGTTACAACAGAAATACCTATACTGTTATCCTGACATATCTATAATCCTGTCACAATCACAAAATTATATAAATAGCTGTACAGTAATAAAGCAGCTAATAACATCTAGGCCTTACCTGGTCTCTGGCTCACTGGTGGACTTCCATTAATTCCTGAGAGTATGATAGGAACAGAGCCCAGAGATGAAGTTGGCGTGGTCACCACTGAGGAAGATGCAGCTGTAGTCACCACGACTAAGGAGGTGGAAGCAGTGGAAGCAACAGGAAGAGTTATGGTTGGAGGAGATGCTACCAAAGACTTAGGAAAAGCAACTGAAGCCACAGGGGTAGTTATCCCAGTGGTTTTGGTAAGGTTCACAGTGGCTGTAGACTGGGTAGATGTTACAGGGGTGCTGATACTAGTTTCAGAGACCTCAACCCCTGTAGTGGTGGCACCAGAAGAATAAGTAGTTTCCTTAGTTTCCACATCAGAAATAGCAGTCATAGGTGTCACAGCAGTAACATTTTCTAAAAACACTTGAGGGGTGGTAGTAGTGACAGCAGCAGTCACAGGGCTGCACACCTGAACTGGTTCAGAAGAAACCACAGGTGTGACGACCATTACTGGAGAAGGTCTGATATTGAACTTCTGTGGCCCTCCCATGGTTTGGGGTGTGCTAACTCCAGGTATCTTCTGCTGCAAGGCTCCAACTTTACTCATCACAAACTGTGTGAACACACCACCAGGAGAGGGTCGAGCCGCTGCAAATAGAAATTTGCAGGTCAAAAATCTTCAGTTCTGATATTTTATCCTCTTAGTGACTGTGCTTACCAACATTTATTGCGCACCACTGGGTCAATTTCTTACAGGTACTACCTACCTGCATTATTTGTGCCAATTTCTACCCTCAGAAATCAAGCACTTGCCTCAGCCAAAAACAAACCCTTATAATTCTAACAGGAAAGGGATTAAAATTGAGTGTTCCAGGCTGGATGCAGTGACTCACGCCTGTAATCCCAGCACTTTGGGAGGCCAAGGCAGCAGATCACGAGGTCAGGAGTTCGAGACCAGCCTGGCCAACATGGTGAAACCCTGACTTTACTAAAAATACAAAAATTAATTGGGTGTGGTGGTGCGGGCCTGTAATCCCAGTTACTCAGGAAGTTGAGGCAGGAGAACTGTTTGAACCCAGAAGGTGCAGGTTGCAGTGAACTGAGATAGTGCCACTGCACTCCAGCCTGGGTAACAGAGCAAGACTCCATCTTGGAAAAAAAAAATTTAAAAATAGACTGTTCCTACTAAAATTCTTGTGCAATATATTCAAACTATCAGGATACTAAAAAGACAATACAGTAGCAAAAACTTCATCACCTAAAACAGATAAAAGAAAATGAGAGGGTTTTTTTCCCCCGAATTCTAATGTAAAAACTTGTTTCTACCATTTTCTCCTGTCTGAGCACTTTCACCTCTTTACAGCTGTCCTATCATGAGATGGTTATATAATACATATTCTTAAAATATATAAAGACATTTCTCAAAAGAGATCAGGATAGGATTGTTTTACTTCCCCTCAGTCACAATTGAAGCTGCTTTATAAGAGGTAAAATAGGTTCTTTTTATGGCAGACAATAAATACCTTCTATCTTCACACAACTCTAACCATTCAGCCAGAGATTTCAACTGACATGCTCACTTAACATTCCTAACAGATATGAAACAACAAAATGAGGAATGCAATAAACCAACTACAGATACTCTCAATGCTAAAACACAAATGCTTCAAGAAGGTAATTTATTACAGACTTCAGCATTTAAATGTTAAGCAAAAGGGATCTGCATTCATCAGTGGCTCACGCCTGTAATCCTAGCACTTTGGGAGGCTAAGGCAGGCGGATCACCTGAGGTCAGCAGTTCGAGACCAGCCTGACCAACATAGAGAAACCCTGTCTCTACTAAATATACAAAAATAAGCTGGGCATGGTGGCACATGCCTGTAATCCCAGCTACTTGAGAGGCTGAGGCAGGAGAATAACTTGAACCCAGGAGGCAAAGGTTGCAGTAGCCAAGATCACGCCACAGCATTCCAGCCTGGGCAACAAGAGTGAAACTCTGTCTCAAATAAAAAAAGAGAGATTTTCATTCACAAAACAGAGATGAATAGAATAAACCAACATTGCCAAAATTGTATTTATAGGAGCTTTCTACTTTAAGCCTATACTACTCACCCCAACAGCTTTTGCTAGCTCCTTGATTTCATAAGTTTAAGAACTACCAACAGAAGAATTTACACAGCACCAGCAAGAATTCAGCAAGATGCCAAAAACACCAGCCCTCATAGGAAAAGAGTAAACTATTTTTAATTTAGTAAAATATTTTAATGAATAATTTAGTAAAATAGTATTTTAAATAGTAAACTTTTTTGGGGGTGGGGGGAGATGGAACCTCGCTCTGTCGCCAATGCTGGAGTGCAGTGGCACAATCTCGGCTCACTGCAACCCTGCCTCCTGGGTTCAAGAGATTCTCCTGCCTCAGCCTCCCGAGGAGCTGAGATTATAGGCGTGCACCACCACGCCTGGCTAACTTTTGTATTTTTAGTAGAGACAGGGTTTTACCATGTCAGCCAGGCTGGTCTCAAACTCCTGACTTCATGATCCACCCGCCTCAGCCTCCCAAAGTGCTGAGATTACAGGCATGAGCCACTGTACCCAGCAATAGTAAACTATTTTTAAATCTCTTCCCTTTCTAGAAACAAAATTAAAATCCTAAGTCTTTGCTATATTAATAAAGAGTCTAAAACCCTTACAAACAACTGTAAAACTTGCCTTCAGGTCAGTGTTATTAAAAAATAAAATCAAAAATTTTAAAAGCCCAGGCAAGACAGACATCAAGAATACGAATAATGCCAAATTACATATTTCTCTAATTTTAACAACCTCCAAGCCTGTACCAACTGGCCCACCACCAAGTCATAGGCCATTCCAAACCATACGTACACTCCAACTTACCAATTGGCCGTTTTGCTGGGACAAATGCCTTCAGATTCTTCCCAGGGCGATTTGTTGGAGCGCCAGAGGAGGATGCCATTTTGGAATTGGATGTTGAAGGCAACAGGGTACGTGGTTTCCTGGATGCAGCCACCTTGGCATTGGATGCTACCTTGGAGATGACAGTACTGAGGGTTGAGAGGTCCAGGACTGAGGGTCGCAACCTGCCTGTGATATAAGCAGCTAGCCTATTGGCTGGATGCAATGCCCCCATCTGTCCCAATAGCAACTTAGCCTGCGGGTAACTCTTACCATTAACCTGAAACAAGTGGCAAAGAGAAATTCTGTAAAGATAAAATTCTCCTGCTAACTCCTCTCCCTTGACAGGGGCTTCATTTTTACAAGTTTTTATAAGTCTATTTTTCAGATTTAAAAGGGAAAAAGAAGACTTTTTCCATTTAGAATAATCTGAGTAATCAGGAGGCAAAAAATGCAGTCATTTGATATTCTGAACTAATCTCATCTTCATTCTGTTGTCTGAAAAAAGAGAATCAAACTCATCATTTCTGCATTCTAGGTATGTGAAAGTTAACAAATCTAAACAACCGGAATTATCCAATTGTTTTACTTGTAAATAAGCCATTCTGGCTAAGCTATTAGCTTCATCAGCAAAAATGATTAACTGTGTCCCACGGAATGTCTCTGATAAGACCAGAGAGGCATAATGAAGCTCTCACACAAGGGACCTTTCAAGCATCCTTCATATTTGAAAAATGTAAGTGAATATACTTTAAGTTATAAGAGAATCATTGTTACAATAACCTAAGCCATAATTACCTCACAGTTTTTGGTTTTCAAAAGGCTTAGCTTTAAAGATACCATTTTTATCTCTTGGGCAAAACATGGATTCAAAACAAATGCTGGTAGAAACTCATTCTCATTCTAGATTATTAACTAAATGGTCAGAAGAAAGTGAACCAACAAATGAGGTAAAGATCCTATCTGCTGTCTCAGTTGATTAGACTACCCAACATGGGTAGCAGCAGCGCAGCTGTTTTATGTGAGGGTTGTTTTTTTTGTTTTTTGTTTTTAAAGGGAAAAAAAAACCCACCTCCCAAGTCTCTACCCATGTTCTCTAGGTCATATTGCCAGGTAATTCTAGAGAAGACAACCTTCTCTGTATCTCCTTTTCACCATTTAAAAGTCGGGGGTTGGGAGAGATGGAGTGAGGTAGAATCTACTCTCTAGTAGGGAAGTGGTGAGGAGACTAGCTACAGCAAGCAACTCCATCTTCAGAGACACAAAACAAAATTACTCTTTGCTACCTCAGTAAAATTGTGATGATTCCCCCAAAGATCAAGATTATCTCTGCCTTGAGTTTGGTACAAAAAAATGTGATCATTCTCCCTGAAAGTAAACTTTACTATCACTTTTTAGGCTATATGGAAATAGGTCAGACCCCCTTCCCAACTCCCTTGGGACTGCTCTGACGACTACTCTGTAGCTTCCCCAAAGTTTACCTTACAGTTGCCTGACTGCTTATGCAGACACATTCTATGGTGGCTTTGTGAGTCCTGGGTAGAAGAGAACACAAAATTTCCCCGCTTGTATTTTAGGGAGTCTGATCTCACAAGAAATTATATCAGGCAAACCTCTGCTTTCAAAGTACCAATCAATAAGGTAAAGAGAAAACGCTGTACTCCTCATCATTAAGAGTACAAGAAATACCCACAAAAGCATTTACATAGCATGCACAACAGTAAACTGCAATAAAAAGTTTTTTAAGAAGATCAATCACATTATTTATTTATTTATTTTTTTTTTTTTTGAGATGGAGTTTTGCTGTTGTTGCCCAGGCTGGAGTGCAATGGCACGATCTCGGCTCACCGCAACCTCCGCCTCCTGGGTTCAAGCAATTCTCCGGCCTCAGCCTCCCGAGTAGCTGGGACTACAGGCATGCACCATCATGCCCAGCTAATTTTTGTATTTTTAGTAGAGACGAGGTTTCACCTTGTTGACCAGGATGGTCTTGATCTCTTGACCTCGTGATCCACCCGCCTCGGCCTCCCAAAGTGCTGGGATTACAGGCTTGAGCGACCGCGCCCGGCTCAATCACATTATTAATGGAGAAGTCCTTAGTAACTTAAAAGCAGCCAATCTAATGGAAGTCAAGTTAACCTTGCAGTAATATCAAACACTTCCACACATTCACTACTCTAATACAAAAATGCATTTTTGTGTGTGTGAGACCAAGTCTCACTCAGTAGCCCAGGCTGGAGTGCAATGGCACAATCTCAGCTCATTGCAACTTCCACCTCCCGGGTTCAAGTGATTCTCCTGCCTCAGCCTCCCGAGAAACTGGGTTATAGGCATGCACCACCACACCTGGCTAATTTTTGTATTTTTAGTAGAGACAGGGTTTAGCCATGTTGGCCACACTGGTCTCGAACTCCTGACCTCAGGTGACCAGCCTGCCTCGGCCTCTCAAAGTGCTGGGATTACAGGCGTGAGCCACCACACCCAGCTAGAAAAACCTTTTTGACTATGACTCACACTAAGTCAGAACTTCTCTTTTCAAATTTTCCAGATGCCAGTATAATTTTACTAATATAACCTACCTGAATTACTAAATAACATGTATAGAAATATTTTTCCTACAATAATGATTACAATGACAAAACCCCTATGAATCAAATAAAGAAAAAATATAATTAAGTAAATATGGCTCAATTTTTACGTATGTATTTAAATAACACCTTACTAAGTTAAAATTTTCAGCTGTACATGGTGGCTCACACCTGTAATCCTAGCACTTTGAGAGGCCAAGGTGAGTGGATCACCTGAGCTCAGAAGTACCAAACCAGCCTAGGTGACATAGTAAAAGCCCACCTCTATCAAACACACACACACACACACACACACACACACACACACACACACACAATTAGCTGGGTGTGGTGTCACACACCTGTAATCCCAGCTACTTGGGAGGCTGAGGCACAAAGAATCGCTTCAACCTAGGAGGGAGAGGTTGCAGTGAGTCAATATTGTGCCACTGCACTCCAACCTTGGCAACAGAGCAAGACTCTGACAAATAAATAAATAAATAAAATTTTTAAAAATGAAATAAAAATTTCCCCAAGTTTCTAAACATATACTGCCTATCATAAAGTCAACTTCATCTTCCCCTTATACCTACCATTCTAACCATGATTTTGTTTTGAAAGCTAACCGCTAATAATAAATTCCAAGAGCTAGACTGAATGCCTAACTATCCTTGCTTGATCGTCAAAGTATCACTAGAGCCCCAGGCAATAAAGTTTATGAAGAGCAACTTTCTGGGAAGGTAAGAAAGAAAATTATTAACTAATACAAGGCTCTATATTTCTGTTCATAAATGTGACAAAAATTCACTCTAGGTATACATCTAACCTAGGCCTATTACAAAAAGAGATAATAATTTTGTCACCCAGTTCCCAGGAAACATAAAGATAAAGGATACCAGGCCCATAAAGGACTCTGAAAAATCATGATACTACCTAGGTATAAAAAGGTGCTATACCCAGATTAAAGATAATTCTCACCTGGATAAGCCCAGATGTACTTGAACTGGGTTTACGTTTATAGGCCACAAGCTTCCCTGCAGGAGAAAGCCCTGCATAAAAAGGCAGACCTTTGCCTCCATGTAATCTCTCCCTCACTGAATCCAGGGCATCTGTCTGCACAGGAGAGATATCCTCCATTTTCCCAGGGGACAATGGACCATCAGGAGTCTCTGATCCAGATTTCTCAGCCATATCATCTTGGTCTTGACATGATGGCATAGAGATTTTCACACGAGAAGAATAAACAGGAGGGTTCTTCTCACCCCGGCTCTTTCGCTGAGAAGCCAACTCAATGATGAAGCTGCCCACCTTAAGTGATTGTGGCATGTTGCTATTGATGTGCTGGGATAAGATGCTCAAAATCTTGTTCCGATCCTCCTCCCAGTTGCAGTCTGAGATGATCTCAATCAGTTTGGTGGGACCACCAGGTGACCGCTGATGCATATAAGAAGTAGAAGAGGATTCCCCTTCATTGCAGGAAGACTTCCAGCTCTTTTCTGATGAGAAATAATAATAAATAAAAAGTTGAAAGACTATTTCTGTATCACAACATTTTGTATGGCACTCTGAAAAAAACTGTCACATTCTCATGTTCTTTCACAGTAGCAACTTAAAATGTATTAACTTTCACAATTTGTGAGTTTTCCAATAAGAAAAATTCCAGACAATCAGACTACAACAGTCCGAATTATCCCGCTGACTGGGCTTTAATAGTGAGTTCCCTTAAAACTGCTCTAAATGCCATAATTATTACATTAGCGGTTAGCTTGCAAAAAAGCATGACCTATAATCAAGGTTAAGCTTCACTGGTATAGGTTACTATGTTGCTACCCATACAGGGAAAGTGAGGCTACTTGTAAGATGTTTGAAGCATGTGAACATTAGAGTCAATCCAAAAGAACAGCAAGAAAAATAGCACTCTGACTTGAAGTGTACTATACCTCTAATTTCTACTGCAAGTACTTCTGAATTACTTCTGTGCCTCTAGATATGACTGCTCCATTTCTACATTGTATGTAGATCACTCAGCTCCCCAAAGTATTCCATCCATGGCAACATGTACACTAGATATGTATTTCACTAGACTCCTAGATTTCTTGAGAACAGCTGCCCAGTGAGTGTACCTGTATGTCAAGGAACCCCATAATCCTCTCAGGGTGCTCATGCTCTCAACCAGGCTCCCTCCACCCCAGCAACCTCCTCCGCTTACCTCAATGTGCTATAGAAACACTATCATTATTTGTATGTACCATGACTTCTTTTAGAAAGTTAAGCCCTGCTGCTTAAATGTCAGAAGTCTTAGGAAGCATAACCAAAATCAAATAGGTAACTCCCTGACCACTATCTCTTAACAACGTAATTCTGGCAGTGGCCTCTGCTAGATAAATCACAGTAATATTCCTTCCTTTCTCCCTTTAGATTTCCCCAAAGGTGGCAGTTATGGAGGACCAATAGCTAATGATGCCAATACTGGGGGTTGGAAAGAGGTTAAAATAAAATTCACTGACCCCATCCTAAATGTCTCTTGCAACAACATGCTATATCAACATGAACGAGTTTTCTTTTATTTTTGAGAGCAGGAGTGTTAACAGACCAAATAATGGGGGAAAAAACTTTTACTTATTGTCCCTGTTTTTGGCATAAGTTTGAAATAGGGTAGGCAGACATGTTCTGAATTGATGGTTTGGGTTTTCTCCCATTTTTAATATAATCTAGACCTAAATAATTTCTATAAAATGTTAAAATCTACTTTTCATTCTAACCTTGTAGTTTACCAGAATCATCCTCCAAGTCACAGGTGAGCTGTTTTAAGGGCTGCTGTTCAGAATCAGGTTCCTGAAGGAGACAGTAACACAGAAATAATTTAACACATATTCAGTACTCACAGAAACTTGAGACACAAGCACTAAATCTCTCTCAGAAGTTTAAATTATTAGAAAGATTAAAATGTTAACAGCTTCAATCCACATGCACAGCTACAGTACTATCATATAAAACCTTGGGCAAAAACAAGTAGTTTTGCTCCCTAATATCCTTGATAGTGACTGAGTCATCAAGAAAATAATTCACATTGTACTTTATAGTAAAGAAGGAAATATATTTACTGTTTAATGAAACAAACGGCAGTTATTCAGAAAATTCACGAAGTGAGGCCACCTTGGTGGCTCATATCTATCATCTCAGCATTCTGAGAGGCAGAGGTGGGCAAATCACTTGAGCCAAGGAGTGCAAAACCCCATCTCTACAAAAATACAAAAGCTTAGCCACCAGTCGTGGCACACGCCTGTGGTCCCAGTTACTTGGGGAAGCTGAAACAGAAAGATCGCTTGAGCCAGGGAGGTGAAGGCTGCAGTGAGTCAAGATCGCGCCACTGCACTCCAGCCTGGGCAACAGAGTGAGACCCTATCTCCAAAAAAAAAAAGTAAGAAAGAAAACAAAATTTGCCAATGTGGAAAGATGCACACCCTAACAATTACAGATAAATAATTAAAATCCAGGATTCTTAAAAATTACTCCAAGGTCAGAAAAAATAATACATTTTAATTTATTTATCGAATCCTCTATTAACAGGAATTCTGCCTCCAAGTTTTCATTATTAAGAAGAATAGGGCACTGAATAGCCTTATATATGTGTATGTTTGAGTAAATACACATACACGTATTTACTCATCTTTGTGCCCTCATGCTAGTATTTCTATATACCAACCTGCCATGTACACTTAAAATTTAGGGTCAAAATATATGCACGTTTAAATTTTTTTTTGTTGTTATTAGCAAATTGCTGTTTAAAAGAAAACTGTTGATTTATACCTGTAGTGGTTTTCTAGGTAGTCACCACTGATGTTGAGGTGGCAGTACAGGTGAAGGTGGAACCCCCAGCCATCAGCTGAACCATGGAAGGGGCAGACGTAAAGCCTAACTACAAGGATAACTGAAATCAGAACTTACTCTTTAAATTATCTGTGAATGTGTGCCTCAGTTTCTCATGCCAGCTTCCTCCATGGGTTGCAAACATTGCCACCTAGACTCTTTTACCATTCCACTTTCACTAATCAGGAGAGACCAACCTCTTTCCTTAGTTCCAATTTTTTTTAAGTGAAGGCAAGTATATAAGAAAGAAGAGGAACAGGCCAGGCATGATGGCTCACACCTGTAATCCTAGCACTTTGGGAGGCCGAGGTGTGCGGATCAGATGAGGTCAGGAGTTCAAGACCACCCTGGCCAATATGGTGAAACCCCATCTCTACTAAAATACAAAAATTAGCCAGACATGATGGCAGGTGCCTGTAATCCCAGCTACTCGGGAGGCTGAGACGGGAGAATCGCTTGAACCCAGGAGACAGTGGTTGCAGTGAGCCAAGATCGCACCACTACACCGATCCAGCCTCGGTGACTGAGCGAGACTCTGTCTAAAAAAAAGAAAAAAGAAGGCACAGAAATTAAAAAAAAAAAAAAAAAAAAAAAGAAAAAAAAAAAAAAAAAAAAAAAA